GCCGGCGGCGGGAGGCGGGAGAGCGCGGGCTGCCTTCCTCCTAGCAGCGCGCTCGGCGCTGGGCGATAGCGGCCGCCGCCGCCTCCACGCCGCACCAGATACGGAAGGCGCCCAAGGCGGGCTGAGCGCTCGGCGCTAAGAACGGGCCGGACCGACGCCAGGGACAAAGCTCTCCAGGCAAGAGGGGCTGCGGCCCTGCAGCGGCGCGCTCGCGATCGCCGGCCCGGACCCACCGCCCTTGCGTCTCGCATCCGAGCCTTCGCTCATCCCCAGCCCGCTCCCCTTCCTTTGCGGTCTCCGCCGGAAGGCCTGCGATGGAGGTCCCGCCCCGGCTCGCCCATGTGCCGCCGCCATTGTTCCCCGCCGCTCCCGCTCCCTTGGCCTCCCGTAGTCTTTCCCATTGGCGGCCGCGGGCGCCGCGGCAGCTCGCCCCTCTCCTCCCTTCGCTGGCCGCTGGCTCCGCCCGGCAGGGGGCGCGCCGGGCCCCGCGCCACGTCACCGCGCAGCAGCCCTCCCGATTGGCGGGCGGGGCGGCTATAAAGGGAGGGCGCAGGCGGCGCCCGGACCTCTTCCGCCGCCATTTTAAATCTAGCTCCATACAACGCTCCGCTGCCGCCAGCACCCCCGCGACCCGGACCGCGCGCCCGCTCGCCCCTGCCGACGGCTCCGCCACCATGGAGGACATGAACGAGTATAGCAATATAGAGGAGTTCGCCGAGGGGTCCAAGATCAACGCGAGCAAGAACCAGCAGGATGACGGGTACCGCACGCTCCCCCCTCTGCTCCTCCCCGCCAGCGCGCTGCACGCGCCCGTCGTCCCCGGGAGCCGCGCGCTGCCCCCGTTCTGTCCCGGAGGCGGTTCCCCGCGTGCCCCTGGACCCCGCAAACTCGGAGGAAGCAGGAAAGGGGGACGTGGCGCGGGGGGACTCGAGAGGCCGAGGAGGTGGGGGGCAGGGCGGAGAGGGCGGTAGCGTCCCGACTGCGCAGGCGCCGCGCGGGGCGGGGCCGGGCCGGGCCGGGTCGACGCGCCTCTCGCCCCAGCTGCCGCCGCCTCTTCATTGTGTCCCGACTGCTCCGCGAGGCGCTCCGAGCAAAGACTTGCGGGGAAGTCATGTTTGGGCACTTCAGCAAGGCCCACAACGTTAGACAGCGAGCTGTTTAGGTGGATCGTTGGCTTGACATCTGAGGACGCTAGTAGAGCGGAGTTGGGAGGGGCCGGATAGGAAGTTTGGCTTTCTGATGCAAAGAAATCTGGCCGGGGTCTTTTCCAGTTTGTCGGTCTCTAGGTTTGCGGTGTGGAGTGCATCCTGCTGGCTTGAATTTTGAGATTGTCGTGGTCCATTGTTTATTTGTCGTTGAAATAGACTAAAAACTGTTTCCCTTTAGAAAATCTCCTTTTGGTTTAAGGTACATTAAATTTTTATTTCTAGTAAAATGTTTATTGGAGGCTTGAGCTGGGATACAAGCAAGAAAGATCTGACAGAGTATTTGTCTCGATTTGGGGAAGTTGTAGACTGCACAATTAAAACAGACCCAGTCACTGGAAGATCAAGAGGATTTGGATTTGTGCTTTTCAAAGATGCTGCTAGCGTTGATAAGGTAGGCGTGTGTTTTGCATTGTTTGAGTGTGTGTTTTGTAAATTGTTCTGAGGTTTGTTGACATTTTCTTATATTGTTGACATTTTCTAAATTGTCTCCTGTTGACATTTTCTTAAACTGTTGACATTTTCTTAAATTGTCTCCCAGGTTTTGGAACTAAAAGAACACAAACTGGATGGCAAATTGATAGACCCCAAAAGGGCCAAAGCTTTAAAAGGGAAAGAACCCCCTAAAAAGGTGTTTGTGGGTGGATTGAGCCCAGATACTTCTGAAGAACAAATTAAAGAATATTTTGGAGCTTTTGGAGAGGTGCGGTATGATTGTTTACATGTATCTTACATGTGTTACAGAATGTTCATTCCGGATGTAGTTTGGCGCTTACTATACTTGGTGTGATAGGATTGCATTAAATTACTACTCAAGTGCCTTCTAGTGAGCACTTTTTTTAATTGCTGCTTTCTGTGTTCGGATGACAACCAGTGTCTAATTTATTTTGACCAAAACCCAGGTGTTTTGATGGGGATCAGTATTGGGAATTACCATCTCTTGGTACAAGATGGTGTTAAAAGTTGTTCTACTCTTTTCTCAGTGCTTGATACACAAGGAATCTTTTTAGGTTGTTCATAAAGCAGTGTGTTTTCAGAACTCACCTTATTAGCACCTGTGGTATCGAAACACTTTTGGTCCCTTTTTACCATAACTAGATGATCTTGACGTATTGAATGTGTGTCTTGGTTGCAGATTGAAAACATTGAACTTCCCATGGATACAAAAACAAATGAAAGGAGAGGATTTTGTTTCATCACATACACAGATGAAGAGCCAGTCAAGAAATTGTTAGAAAGCAGATACCATCAAATTGGTTCTGGGAAGGTAAAACCATTTAATTACATTAAAAGAATTAGAGGATTGGAGGGGAAAATATACTGAGAAGGGGAAAAAATGGTTTGGTGGTTGCACTTCAGTAAAAATCCTGTTTATATTTTCTGTTTACAGTGTGAAATCAAAGTTGCACAACCCAAAGAGGTGTATCGGCAGCAACAGCAACAACAAAAAGGAGGAAGAGGCGCTGCAGCTGGTGGACGAGGTGGTACTAGGGGTCGTGGCCGAGGTGAGACTTAGTTCTTGTGCAGTGACTCTGTCATATAAGCAGTGTATACTCAGTAAGATTAAGCCCATGAGAAAAAGCAAGGTGAAATCTAAACCTGAAACTCCTGTTAATAAACTCCGGCTTGGATCAGGGTTAGTTACTTTCTGTTTTGCTTTTTTATGAGCTCATTTTGGGAAGGAACCTGAGTTCAGCCCAGCCTGGATGAAACTAAAAGGGATTAGGGATATAGCTCTGTGCAGAGGCCCTGCATTGAATCCCCAGTACCACAATAAAATGAACTTACTGGTTTTGTTTGTTCCAAGAATGGCCACATTGACAATGGTATCACTGTTGAGGAAATAATACCATTACATGTTTTGTTGGGCAGGAGTCCTTGTTTGAACTAGAACAGCCTGACCATAATGATTTTTCATTAACTTTAGTAAGCTTGAGACTGACACAGTTGGATTTTCGGTCCCCTTATTTGTAACAAAAAAAACTAGTAGGTAGCAAAATTTGTATCCCTTTTGCAGAGTAAGGCATAAGAACTTAGGTTTTGTGTTACATTGGGGGGTCAGAGGTTGTTTCCTAACAATCACTGCATTGTTACAGGTCAGGGCCAAAACTGGAACCAAGGATTTAATAACTATTATGATCAAGGATATGGAAATTACAATAGTGCCTATGGTGGTGATCAAAACTATAGTGGCTATGGCGGATATGATTATACTGGGTATAACTATGGGAACTATGGATATGGCCAGGGATATGCAGACTACAGTGGTAAGAATATTTAATTTACTTTCATAAACCAATGGTATTAAAATTTTGGTGTTGAAATACATTCCCATTCTGAAGTTGTGTGTACGGGTTTTCTATTTGCTGTTCAGAGTTGAGGTTCGATCCGTAAAGGATAGTAGGGTAATTAAATCCGTAAAGGATAGTAGGGTAATTAAAAAAGAACTGGGATGAGCCAGGTGTGGTAGCCACATGCCTATAATCCCGTCAACCTGGAGGGCCAAAGCAGGCAGAGGCCAGCCAGAGCAACTTAGCCAGATCCTGTAACAAAAAATAAGAAGGTCCAAGAAGGCCCTGAGTTTAATTAACTAAAAGCACTAGGATGTGTTGCATTTAACTTACATTGGTTATTAAAGTATCTTAATACTTTAAAGTTTGGAATGCAAAGTTTTACACATTCGTGACTTAATGTATTTGTGGAGACACCACTTTATGTAGAAACTTTCTTAGTAAAATTTGTATCCTTTCAAAATAGGTCAACAGAGCACTTATGGCAAGGCATCTCGAGGAGGTGGCAACCACCAAAACAATTACCAGCCATACTAAAGAGGAAGACATTGGAGAAAACAGGTGTGTATAAGAGTGCAAGAAACCAGTAGAAATGTCTAATTTAATTTAAAGATCAATAGACAAATAAAAAATAAGTAAAAACAAAATATTATGTAGCCTGTTTTTACTAAATTGTTAATTTTAATTGCTTTATCAGCCTCTTTTGCCTAAAGTGTCTATAGATCTTTAACTTTAAAGTCTTATCTCACCTTTTTTAGTATTACAGAAAAACTTAAGAGTTTTTCTGTTTGCTTTGTGTACCAGGAGGTCTAGAGGAATAATTAAACTTTTTTAGAACTATTAACAGGTAAAGTACTGAAATGGGTACAACTTAAGGAAAACAAGAATGTTGTCTTCTAACTCTGACATTATACCTTGTTTGTACCCGCCAGCGGGAACTTCATTGCAGGCCGTGTGTCACCCTGACCACGTCTATCTCTGGGGGTCGCACGTTGCGGGCAGAGCGCAAGGCATACACCAGAAAACGCTGTCCTGTGGTATGGTCTCTTCCAACTTCATGTACCAGCGTAAAGATTAAAGTGGAAAACTTCAGACTTTGGCTTCTTTTTTAATCTTTTTGGAGATTAAGTGTCTAAACTTAACTTAAATGGTTTTTTACAGGAGTTAAAAGTACATAAATGCCTTTTTACAGCTTAATCATTTTGGTCTTCTGTTTAGTGTTGTATTTCAATTGTGGAGCCTCATTTTAAGTGTTCATTCTTTAAGATTTAATGCTTGCTTTTTCTTTTTATAGCTAATAGTGAAATCTACAAACCAAAACAAGAACTTTAAAATCTGGGATATAAGTTAAAGATCATATGCACAAAGAGATTTGTTTTCTTAAGATAAATAAGTCTATTAGAAATTTATGTTTGTGATAGCATTTTACTTGGCTTACTAGAAATACTTCTAGTAGGCCTTATCTATGTGTCCAACCTGTGAATATGGGAAGGTTGCATTCCCAGATTCTCCGAAGAGATTTGGATTTGATACTATTTGTAAACTCCAGAGTGAGTTTATCCATTACCCAAACTGCGTTTTGCAAACAAATACGCATGTGATCTTTAATTATTGAAGAAAAGAATAAAGTGAGGACTTAAAACAATTCATGAAAGTGGACCTTTGAAGGCTTGTCAGAGTTGCACAGATCTAATTGTTATTTTGTTTTTGTTTTTAGGAGATGCTTAAGAAATCTTCCAGGACAACACTGAAGATTGGTCTTCTGTTGCTCTAATGATTATTTTGTAAAAGACTTTATAGTGTACAAGACACAACTGTGTCCAACTGTATATAGCCGCCAGTTAGTTTTCCTTGTTTTTACTTTGTCCTTTGCTGTGTGTTATGACTCTGTGGATTTATGTTTATACAAATTTTATTTGTATGATTTCTCATGTTAAACCCCAAATAAATGCTTCCTTATGTGATTGTTTTTCTGCGTGAGGTACTGCATAGCTCTGTAAAGATGTAATTTTAAATAAGCAATAATTAAGGTACAGGTTATTTTGTAGGGAGTTTGGGTCTATAGGGAAAAAACTGATCCTTTAGCCAGCTGCAGGATTGAGTACCCTGTGCCCCATTTTTGTATGTATATTCTATGCTGTAAGGCGCATTTCCCTTAGCTGAGGCTTCTGCTACATCTTTGAATAATGTTCTTACCTCCAGATACTTTATCCCAAAACATGAGTCATGGTATTGTGATTAGGAGAAGCTTTCTACTAGCCCATATGTTTTCTATACTGTGTTTAAGAAAGATACTTTTGGGACTGGAAGTGTAGCTCAGTGGTAGAACACCTGGTTAACATGCACAAGGCCCGGGGTTCTATCCCCAGTACTTGCCAAAAAGTGGGGGTTTGTTGATAGTCCTTTTGTTTTGTTCCTCTTCATGGCAAGTGTGTGATTGACTAGTTGTTTTGACCTTGGAGTTACTTGGTGGTCCGTTGGACTACACCTTGGGTAATATAACACCATGGCTTTTGTCCTCTTGATTAAAGGAGACAAGTGCACAACCAGCACTCAAACTGGTAAGGTTTATGGTTTAAGGGTATTCAGTACTTAAAACGGACTTTTCTCAGAAGTGTGAGATTTTCAAAGTTTGGTTGAAAGATGAAGATTTGAGGTAGTGGCAGAATACTTGTATTTTTATTGATGTGTCATAGCCAACACAATAAAATGTTTTCTACTTGGACATTCTTAGGAAGATGTTCTAGAGTTGTGTAGTGTGAGGTTAGAGAAACGCTAGTCCACCTTGTAAGTGCAGTTAGTGCATGAGCTGAGTAGGCATTTTCATGTTTAGACTTGGGAAGGGACAGTGAAGGTGGTAGCGCTTACCTGTGAGGTTTGTTAATGTGACTAAGTTGCCACTTAAGCGTACCTTTCTGATGTGTTGAAAGTTTTATATCTAGATTTTGAAAGATTTTCTGAGGTAAATAGAAATTTTGATAGATTTAGGGAAGTTTGTTTCCATGCTGCTAGGGGGCTAGCATACATGTTCACTTATAGTAGTTGACTTCATACTTAACCAGAAGTAAGTTTTTAGTACCAGTACCTCTCCTACCCCCCAGTTTGATGATATTTGTATTAGTGGGGCTATCAGGTTCGATGCATTGGCTTGTTCTGGTATAGCCAAGTACTAGTGCTGGCTGTTTTCAACAGACTTTATTTTTCTAACATGGAATCCTAGGGCCTGAAAGGGCGATGTTTCAGGTGGTTTTGTCAGTAGGTGTGGTGTCTAGAGTAGTGAATCCTATATGTTCAAATCAATGGTTAGGTGACAAGTTGACATTGAGATTGTCCTTTCCCCTGATCAAAATGAATAAAAACTTTTTAAACAAAACACAAACTCTTCCATTAAGTCTTGGTATGTATGACTTTGAGAAAGGAATGTTATACCTAAAGATTATTGCCTGAAACTGTTTACCAAGAATTAGAAGTGAAAATGTACTTGGTTTATGTTCAAGGCCTGTGGACTTGAGATTTAATTCAGTCTAGAGCCTATCATTTCACCAACTGGGAATCCAAAATAAATTGCTAAGGCTAAGTGTTCTAGACAGTTGCAGTTGAGTGGCCTGTAAAGTTAGTATTCAGGTTCCATCTCTAGGTTATTAATTTAGAACCAAACAGTAGTTTAAACATTGAAGACACATGCAGGGTAGGAATTTTCAAATGCCCTGGTCTACAAAGTTAACCCATTTACCTAAATACACTTAATGGATTATTTTAACCAAAGTTGTGTGGCATAACTCAACCTATTTTGACCGTGTCTTTAAAATTAATACTCCATACTTGCATAGCCACTTACAGAAATAGGACTGTTGGATCAGGATGTCTGTTAGTGCATTACTGTTCAGCATTTTCAGGAAGGTGACAAGGTGAAATTTAATACAGAAGTATTAACCTATTACCAGACTCCATTAGCTGTTAACCAAAGGATGCTGTTTGGGTGCGGGCCTGATGAAAAGAGTGGGGAAGAAGGATAGCGAGTTTGAGCCCAAGCTGGGCAATTCAGCAGTTTAGGAGGATCCTACCTCAAAAAGGGGGGAGGGTGGCAGGGATGTTGCTCATTGTGCAGGTGCTGGGCTCAGTCCCCACTACCCTACCCTTCCAAAAAAGTCCCTCTCCAAACCAGCCTGATAGACCTGCCTTTGAATTACAATGGTCTCATCTTTCTGACCTAAAGCAGTATGATGTGGTACTTCTTTTTTTTTTTTTTTTTTTCAATTATTGGCATAAAAATTGGGCTTTTCTTGAGCTGGTCACTTGGGAGCCTGAGGCAGGATTGCTGCAAGTTTGAGGCCAGCCCAAACTATATAGTTAGTTCAGGGGCAGCCTGAATTACACAGCAAGACAGTGTCTCAAAAAAAAAAAAAAAAAAAATTGGGCCTGTTCTTTTAGAATTGGTTTTTATATTTTTAAAAACTCGCATTGGAATTTCAACAAGGTTCAGCTTTATAGCAAGAAACAAAAGTATATCTCAACCATATTATGAACTAGAAAATGATACAGTGGTGTGCTGGAAATTGCAAGAGAATGCTGAGCATTTTTAAGACACGTGCCATTGAGGGGCAATTTAATCTCTGGTTTTACCTTCCCATCAGTACCCATTGAGAAAGGTATTAGGAGAGGTGTTTGTATTACAATTTCAGAGTAGTTTGGAAAGATAATTTCTTGTTTTGAAGTCTAGAAATTTCAAATACCAAAGGGTCCCAAGATTGTGGGTTCTGAAAGACCAGCTCAAGTTAAAAGTTTGAGAAATCCTGCTGCAGACAAGTTTTTTGATGCCATCAGTGCTTTGGTTTTCTTTGTGATCTTCTATCTCGGCTGACCTTGAGCTTGTTATGTATCCCCAGCTGGGCCTCAAGCATACAATCCTGCCTCAGCCTCCAGAGTGCTGAGATTATAGGGAGGTACCATGAAGCCTGACCAATGGATATCTCCTTTTGAGAAATTGACCAAAAGTGAATTCAGACACGCCTCCCCTAAGAAAATGTCTATACATAAATTTTAAATGTAGTTGCTGGGAAATTACAGATTTCTCTGAAAGCCATCTGGGTTAGTCTCTTAAAGGGCTAGGGTGTAGCTTAGTGGTAGAGCACTTGCCTTACATGAAAAGGGTCCTGGGTTCAGTCCCCACTCCCATATACACACGGTAGTCTTGAACTGTTGGCTTTTATAAAGGTAACAGACTAAAATTTATTGAAGTTGTTACTGATGAAATTACACAAAGTGAATTTCATCTGCTGTTCTCTACTTAGGTGTTTGGTTTGGTGAACACACAGTGATTTATTGAGAGGTAAGGATAGTTAGCCCGACAAAAAATCCTACTCAAAACAGCCCGGATGTTCAAGTTGTGGATACGGTTAGCTAACTGAAAAACACCAACTCTGCTTACATTTTGGAATCTGTTAAATATCTCAAGTCCATTAAACTATCAGGTATACCTGAGGCTTAGATTTTCAGCTAACATGTTTGTCACTTCTGGGGATGCCGTTTAAGTGTTAAGCTTGGTTAGTAAATAAGCAGAACTGTAGATACTATAGTCCTAGCACGTGAGAGGCTAAAGGAGGAGGATCCAATATTCAAGTCTTGCCTGGGCAACTTGGCAAGGCATTGTCTCAAAATTTAAAAAATAAAGAGGATTGGAGTTGTATCTCAATATAAAGGTCCTGGATTCAATCCCCTGTACCGCAGACACAAAAATAGATTGGTCAGTAATCTTTTAACACACTTGGTTTATGAGTTCTGAGATCTTTTGTAGAAAAGTAGTATTGTATGACAACAGATCATTCCTAGGATGAAATATGAGCCTGGATAATGTGTTTCCGAGGAAGATCTGTGAAATTGCTGTGATTATTTAGATCGCTCTTGAGCCACTATTCACTCAGGGCATAGATGTTTTCACAGCAAGCAGCTGAGTGAGTGGGAGTTGTGACAGGTAAGTGGGATTTTAGGATAGTTCCAATGTTTTTATTTTTATTTTTGGGAGTACTGAGAATTGAACTGAGAGACTTCACACTGAACTACATCTCTGGCTCCTTTTTAATTTCCTTTATTTTGAGACAGTCTTGCTAAGTCACTGAATTCCCCAGTTGCTCAACCTTGCAGTCCTGCCTAAGCCTCCCAGAGTGCTGGGATTACAGGTGTGTACCACCATGCCTACCTAGTTTTAAATGTTTTCATCATCAGGAAACACTTTAAATATCTTTCCTCCATAGGCTCTATGTTTTAAATGGTTTATCAAATGTATTACTTATGTTTAATGACATTTTTATAAAGTATATCACTGACAGAACTTTTAGTGTAATAATCAGTGTCACATCAGCCAAAATAAACAGTATTTTTGTTAGTTTGTACAGATATTTCTAATAATATGTAATTTCTATCAAACTTCTATCAAATCATACTGAAAATCCAAACATTTTTATTACTACTTTCTAAGGTTTAGAACCACAGCATATCATTGGGCCAAAGAAAAGGCATTTTCAGCCAGGCATGGTGGCACACACCTGTAATCCCAGCACTCAGGAGGCTGAGGCAGGAGGATCATTATGAGTTCGAGGCCACCCTGGGCTACAAAGTGAGCTCAAGGCCAGCCTGAACTGCGTAGTGAGACCCTGTCTCTAAAAAAGAAAAAGAAAAGGCATTTTTGGAGTAAGTTCTATTTTTACCTGGAGAAAATGATATTTTAAAAATAGTTGGGGTATTCAGGAATCTCAAAAAGTATGCATTTGGATGGCTTCAGAAGTAAAGCCCCCTGAATCATACCTTTGATCTCATTTAATGTATTTCTGTTTTTTAAATAATTATTCTATGTAATGCATATACACATAGGTCTTAGAGAACTGGTCAAAACTAAGAATTGCTATGCACAGTGGTGCACGCCTGTAATGCCGGCACTCGGGAGACCCAGGCAAGGGGAAGCATGGAAAGTATAAAGCATGAAAATTGCTGTGAGGAACTAGAGCCACAGAAGGTATAGTGAGTAAGGATAGCTGAAGCTGTACAATAAGAGAAAGAGTAAGAGACAGTAGTTGAAGAGAGGAGGAGTTGAAGAGAGATAATGGCTGAAACAATTCCAGAAGTGACAAAAGACACAGGCTTAATATACCCACTAGGTTACAGTTAGGAAAAACAGATACACCATGACGCTGTGGTGTACGCCTGCAGTCTCAGCTGCTTACAAGGCTGTGACAGGAGGGTCACATGTTAGAGCCCAGCTTGGGCAGTTTAGCAGGACGCTGTCTCAAAATAAAATGTAGACAAGCCTGGAGCTGATCTCCATGGCAGAACACTTGCCTAGCACATGGGGGGCCTGGGCTCAACCCCCAGCACCATGAGAGAGGGAGGAGGAGGGAGAGAAATAGAGGGGAAAAAAACAACAAAAATTTTAAAGCAGTCAAATCTAGACCCATGTACCAGTAATCAGGAAATAGAAGAAACAGAAGCATTTATTAAACTGTCATAAGGGTGCAACCCTACAAAGCTCCAACGTGGAAAGTGCCCCAGAAGAATGACCCATTTCAAGTGCTGTAGTAAGTACCATGAGGTAGGAGGGCACAGAGGTGGCTCTCTGGAGGTAAGTAAGGATCTGATGTGCAAGTCATGTTTTCATGACATTGTACAGGTTCTGTAGAAAACCAAGGCTACCTTCCCAGGTTTGGGGAATTCTCATCATATACATCTTGATGAGAAGCAAAGAGTAGCATAGAATACTAATATTTAAAAATCACTCTCCCTGGCTTCCTTACAGCCTGAGCACAAATATGTGATGTCAGCTGTATTATCCTGCACTAGGCCTTGAGCCAGGATTTAGTGAATCACAGATGCGGAGGTTTTGAGGAATTGGTGCTGGGACAGCTGGCAGGCAGGGTGGCAACCACTGTTCAGAAAGAGCAGGGTTTCTGCCACAGCGCCAGTATCTAGCAGTGCGGGGATCAGCACTGAAAGCAGCTGCATCTGTTGTAGCAAAACCTGGCGCCTAGGGACCCGGTCCTGGGGAGTGATTGTTGATTAGTATATGTTGGCGACACGTAGTAATTACCTGCACCTCGAGGTACTGGTATATACATATCATCATCTTTATTTCGCCGTCCTCTCCTCTTCTTTAGATCCTCTCCCATCTCCACAAAGTCCATTTCTCTGTTTGCTATCAGCTATATTTTATTTTGCACTTTATTTGTATTTTAGGTTTTGCATGTAAGGGAAAACTAAATATTTAACCTACTGGGTCTGATTTCGTTCACCTAGCATTATGGTCTCAAGGTGCACCCATTGTCCTACAGATGACTCAGGTTTCTTTATGGCAGGGCAGTGCTGCATTTCATGTAAATACGACGC